ACGAAATATTTATACTTATTAAATAATAATAATAATAATAATAATGATGCAGAAATTTCTCGATATTAAAAGAAAAATGTGAATTGTAATAAGGGCTAAAGGAAATTTCTATTCGTTTCTTTGATGTTATGGTTAATATCATGGTTTTATTAAAAACCAATATATTTTTTTATCTTTCGTATAAGCAACACATATCTTTAAATTTTTATCGGTAAACAAAATCAATCGTGCGAATAATGATTTGTTATGTTATATTTCAAATTAGTCCGTTCGTACGGATAAAATATTCAAATTAGTAGTGGAGAAAAATAACAAATACAAAAATAAAATATGTACCTATAATATTTATCGGTTTTTACCATATATAATATATTTATATTCGATTATATATTTTATATTGTTATTGTATAGCTATTTTGTAGTGGGATGTATAGAATGCATTTATTGTAATATACAGGGTGTCTCATGAATACTAATTCCGGAGATATTCCCAGGGCCGTTTTTAATCTTTACCTTTTTCATAGTCCGCGGTCACACCGATCAATTATTTTGAATTGTCTGAGAGCAGTTGTAGTTAGATAAGTTTAATACCATAATAAACTTAATAATCGATAAACTGATCGGTAGGGAAACAATATTTTATTTCAAATTTGATAATAATTAAACAAGACTACTGGCACTACTGCTAATGAACTAAAAACTAAGCTAGTGAAAAAGTGTTATACCGTAATTTTTTCCGTACCCTAGTGCTCTAATTTTCAAAATGTTCAACAAATTTCATGGCTATTGATGTATTATCTATTCATCTTGGTGCGTTAAAATATTGGCCAGACGCGTCTCTGAGAGGAGGCGAAAGAGACCATATTCGCCCCTTCCCCAAAAGCCACGTGATGTTCATTTTGCTATACAAAATATCCATAATTCTTAAGTACAAATAAGTACAAATGCAACTGGTTCCAAATGCCATAAAGATGATCCCGGATCTTCGAAATACTTTAATTGAAACAAAAATGAAACACTTCTCTTTTATAAATTTCAATAAATATTCTCTCAAGGGTGAGATAGAATTATGGACAACAAAGTGGGAACAATCAATTTGCAAAAATATAATGACATATTTTTAGAATTAAAATTGGAAATGATTAATTTAATTTAAATTTTAAATTCTAAGTGTAGAGAAGAATATACCTATTGGATTTATAATGTTTTTTTTTTATAACTTTGACTTTGTTATACTTTAGGAAGGTCTCTTCTTGATTTTCCAAGCAGTTTTCATAATATCTGAAAACCCCAGGAAAAAACGTAAGAGGAACAGTAAAATGTACGAAAATAATGCTTTTATTATTTCCAATTTTGACTTTTGTTGTAATTCAGTTAAAAATATTCGTACGACTTGAAATTTTTTGGCGTGGTAAAATTCTTGAGCAATTTATCGACGTTTTATTTTTCGAGTTTTGTATGTAATTTTTATATAGTAGGTTCTTCGTTGATAAATTGTTAGACCAAACAGAAATACTTGAGAATTTCACATGAGGTTCATTAAAAGTTGTACTTTTTCTCAAAAAAAAAAAGACGCTAACTGGCTCATCACTTTTAAAAATGTATTGAAATGAAAACATTAATATAGAAAATATTGTTGAACAACACGCTGCTTAAAATAAAATTATTTTGAACTTGGTCCTTTAACTTTTATTAGTATTTTTGTTATTCATATTATTATTATTTTAATTATTATTTATTTAATGGGAAAAAAATTAATTTAGCTTTTAAATTGTATTGTTTTATTGCATTTGTACAATATCTGCAGTCTTCTAAACTAATATAAGTTGAAATGACATTAGACATAAAGGTTTTTAGTTTTTGTTGACCAAAGCGATGATATTCAAGAATAAAAATTGTTCACCCCCTTCTCCTGGAATTGACCCGAAGACGCCCTTGAGCAATACCATTAACCAAACTTTGCTCAGAATCGTTTTTTGTTGGCAATGCCTAAAGTTACTTAGGTACAGATATTCATTAATTGCCATCAATATCCTAATATCCTTATCAATCATTAATATTAAATTTAATGATTTTGCCTAGGTAGTTAAGGTCTGGAGACGCCTCTTAGATAGTGAGATTGGCTCAATATAACTATTAAAGGATATCACTTATATTAGGGTCAAGCATAGTGGCGTCACATTCAAAATTTGAGGTTGGGTAAAGAAATAGGTTAAAACAAAAACTGGTTTATTTTTGAAAAGTATATTCGAATACCATTATTAAATTAAGAGTTTTTAAGCACTCAACCAACCATAATGAGTGTTAATTAAGAAAATAAAATAATAAAATATTGTTGGGATGTACGCCAGTTCACCTCCTAGTGTTGCACTGGGTAGAACATGATTCCTTATCAGTGAACGGAATCTTAACCATTTTAAGGCACACGTTTCCGTACATTTTGTACCTAAGATTTTTAGTCTAATATTGCCAAATTTTCTTAAAGTTACGTTAAAAAAAGACGGTCATACTTTCACGTGGGTGGATCACTGTTGTAGGTAAGAAATTAAGAATGTAGAGTAGAAATTGAATGCAAATCTGTACGCAACAATTAACCATTGCTAATGTAAAACGATTCTGAGCGGAGTTTGATTAATAGTATGGTTTTATTAACAATATATATATATGTTATATTATAGAAAAATATGTATATGCATTTTCTTTAATTCTAATAATATTTGTTTAATATTGTACTTATTTTTCCGATTTTCCTAGGTTTTTTCCCACTTTTCCCATGTTTTTCTCAGTTATTCCAATTTGAAAATCTTTTTATGATTTTTCGTTAATAATTGGATAAAACTGGGAAATATGTGAAAGTTTAACCGAATTAAGTTTGACAATAAATTATCTATTTGATTAATAATGGTTGTACGTCAATTAGTTCCTGTTATTTAAAAATATGTTATTACTCAATAAACAATGTCTCAATGTTGACAAATATTCTATATATGAAAGTTAAAAGCAATAAGAATGATAGGCAAAGTTGCTGTTTGAAAACTAACAATTTATGTTTCTTGTTTAATAGGACTGTCAGTAACAGTACACTATGTCAAATAAACAGACAAAAATTCTATTAAAATTAGTATTTTTTGTACACGAAGTTTAATAATTTAATAACTGTGTAATGTTAAAAAAAAAATAAAAAAAAAAAATAATAATAATGATAAAAAAATCACAGGATTATAATAATTTAATTTTTAATAATTAAAGTTTTAACGTATTCTTTATTCGTTTTTAATATTAATTTATTATGGGCCAGAATTTTTGTAAGAAATATGTGAGTAGAAATATGTGGGTAGGCAATTGTTTTAGATATTGGGAAGGTACGGTATACAAGATAATTTAGTTAATAGTGTATGATATCATTATTAATTGTTAACGAAAAACGATTTTGAGCGGAATAGTATTTGTCTTAATTTTTATATTTATTGAAATTATCTGTCAAAAATGAAACATTTGAATTGTATATTGTTAATGTTAAATAAAATTCAGAAACTAAAAAAAAATAAATAAATAAAAGAACTAGGGGTGAAGTATTACCAACCAGAAATTTTGCATCTTTTTATAGGCATGACATGAACAAATCGAACCATTTTTACTAACCGAAAAAGTATTTTTCGAGAAAAAAATCACACAGTATAGTAAAATCATAGTAAATGACTAATAGCTTCTTCGCTAAACTAAGAATATAAAACTGTTTGTATGATTCGTACGATTTGGATTATAAAAATATTTAAAGACATTTCTACTATAATATTTTGATTTATTATAAATTAAGCTTTCTTGTTATTTCGATGTTTATCGTATTCTCTAATATACAAAATCGTGATAAAAATCATACCATTAAGTTTTATACCTGTTCTCCAGATGATTCTTCTAAAGATTAATTTTATTCTCACTGTTGTTATAAACTGTCGTCGTTGGCGTTAAAAATTTCCGCCTTTAAAAAAAAAAAATTAAAAAAAAAAAAAATGTATAATAATACATTTTTTTTACGTTTGTAATATTTATTTACATTTTTTATTTTTTTTAACTATATATTTTTCAGAACTAAAAAAGCATTTAATTGCGTATAGTTATACGAATTTGTAGTAAATAATAATATTTATTTTATAATACATTATTGTTATTATTTTAATTGATTTATGCGCATTTTGAGTGACGTAGAAAGTACAACCAAGAACTGCAAGAGAAATTGAAATTGGCAACAATAAATGGATTCATAAAAAGCCAGAAACTACAATGGCTAGAACATATAATGTGATATAGTTCTGATAAAGTAATCAGGGTAGTACTCTATTGAAAGCCAGAAGAAAAAAGACCACGGGATGGCCCTCGGATAAGGTGGATTGATGTCGTAGAAAAAGATTTGGAAAACCTGGAAATGCGGAATCAGAAGGAGATAGTTCAGGATCATGACAGGTGGGATGATTTAGTGATGGCGGCAAAAACTCTTGGAGAGTTTAATAGAAGCCGAAAAAAGAAGAAGCTATTAGAGTATTTTTGTATTGTCATGAAAAAAAAAAAAAATGTCTTTATACTTTACAAAAAAAAAAATATCATCTTTGCATTCAATTCAAGCAAGTTATTTAATAAAAGTATTTAAGAATACCTATATACTATAAAATTATTGGTTTTGAATTCTGAGTGGAGCGAGGAATGATTTGGTTTTACAATGATGTTTATTTCTTATTTTTTCTTTACTAAGAACAACTTTTTTACAAGTAATTTTGATCTGATTTACAATGATAGCATTTTTTCAGAAAGACAATTTGACTGGGATGGTACTTTAGGAAGGTTATTTTTTGATTTACCCAAAAGTTTTCCCAAATAGGAATCACCGGGAAAAAACGGAAAAAGACGAGAAAATAGGTACAATATTAAAAAAAAATATTATTAAAGAAAATATATAATGCGTATGCAATTATTTTATCATAATTTGATATATTATATAATGTTGATTAAATAGGTTTAACTTGTATACCCAACAAATTAAGCACATCATTAACTTGGCGTAAATTTTCTATCGATACATTAGACAAATCTATCTTAAATAATTTGTTGGCAATAGAAGAAACTAGAGAATCATGATCTGTAGCTAAGGGATTAAATTTATATGTCAAATCTTTCGACTTAGTAGTAAGAACAATTTTTCAAATAGATGATAGCGAATATATGTACAGAGTATACAGTGGTGATTAATGTATTGATTGTAACTAATAAATTGACATAACTTTTTAAATAAGTATAAACACGTTTCGCGATGACTTTTTATGTTTCAATTAATTTATGAGAAAATGATCATACACCGATAATGGGAAGTCCGGCAATGAAAATTATTACGCGTTTTGATAAAATTATAGAGATATTGTATTTGAATGTTTATACTCACTGTGATACAGTCCTTTAGCGCTCTCCACCACGAATATGGGTACCGACACGGCCAGCGAAGCGCTTACCAAGCCTTGCAGAGCTCTGCTCGAGTAGAGGCAGACCGCGTAGCTGCAGGGACCCATGAGAGCAACGGCGCCGCCGGTCAAAACGGACGTACACACGGCTACCACCATAGTCCGGTACGGGCCCACCTTGTGTATGTCGCGACCGCAGAAATACGCCCAGGGAACCGCCACCGCGTAAAACACCATCTCTTGGTCCAGCCGGTCGGTCTCTGTAATGTTTTTCTGATCTGTTAACCAGCCCAGGTTCAGTCCAATGGTCAGGGCACACGTACTCGCTGCGTTCCAATATAAACAACAATATTATACACTTTAGAATGCAATAATTATTATAAAATAATATTATGAAGAAATTATGCACTTTTAAATTCTGAGCACAGGGATGCGTGCATTGCTTTCACTGAGACGTGGGCATTTGGTTTTACTACAATATGTGTTTATTATTTGTTTTTTGTCTGTTCATTAACAACTTTTCTATTAGAAATTTTCTTCAATAAAAAAATGACAACAGACCTTTTTTGTTGAATTTTGGATTTAGTTGGTGTATTAGAGAGAATATTTCTTGATTTCCCGTGTAGTTTTCTTTATAATTTTCCTATACATATCAGATAATTCATTTAAGTGGTTACACTCATTATCTCGGAAAGGTTGCCAATATGCTTAATATAGGTTGCCATTTGAAAATCAAAAGTAGGTGGTGGTTTTACTCCCAAAAATAAGGGTGACAAAAATTAATTTAAATATAAAATTATAGAGCAGCTTGTTTCTTAAATATTCTAGAAAACGAATTCCGGTAAAAGTTAATACTTTCCGAGATAATGAGTGTACCCACTTAAATGAATCACCCGGTGTATGATATTTCAAATAATATTATTACTACCAATGTGGATAATCCGCAAGAAACGTGGTTGGACGTAATTTTTCGTAATTTTTACTTATACTACTATTAAACCGTTGGTTTTGTATATAGTATATGATAACTGTAATGAAAATAAATATGTATTGGCCCGACTTACAAATAGTTACAGCATTATTTATAATATTATGTAGCCAATTTATTCATACCTACAGATTATACTCGTATAATGTAACATTTTGAGGATGGAATAATTGGGAGCTTAATATTCAAATTTGCATCCTTCCGTTTCGAGGTTTAAATAATCCTTGAATTATATAGGCATCCAATGCGATAATTGGGAAGTGTGTTTTCATTCGTGGTTCGGATCCCCCTCTTTCTTCCCTCTAAATTACATAAAAAGTAGAAAACTTACGTTTGAACATCAATAAAATTACGAGTGTATTATAATATTATGTATTGTAGTAGATCTGTTAAACAAAATTGGACCCTTCGAATTTTATTTAATTTACCCTACTCCCTCTTTAGTTTAAATGAGCTTTAAATCGACCACTGGCTATCACCGAATACACTGCTGCACATCAATAACATAAACACAACATTTATGTTATTATTATTATTACCTATTTATAAATTAAAGGTCGCAGGTATTATTTTATACGCTGGGTACCTATATACAGGAAGATGCACTAAGAGGGCTCACCTCCTTTTGTTTTCTTAAATTTTGTATATTAAATTCAAATTTTAATTTTTGGAATTTTTAATTGTAATTAAAGCCGATATTTTTGAATTAAGTAGGAGGAGAGTAGTAGAACACTAATAAAATGCCGTGCGCCGTGCCGCCACATGAATGATACTCCACTACTTTCCCCTACCTAAACTTAAAAGTGGAATATCTCGTTAACGGGTTGACGGAAACCAAAAATGTTGACATCGAAAGTTGATATCGCTACAGGACGCTCCTTAAATGTTATAAAATATATAAGTATTCGAAAATATTGACTTTAATTAAACTTAAAAATTCCAAAATCAGAAATTGAATATATACAAAATTCAACCAAAACAAATGGGATGAGCACGCTTAGTGAATCATCAGTTTATATAAAAAAAAATTTAATTTAACGTTTCGAAAACATTTTTTCCACTCACAGCCTTCTGTAATCAGCCTTCATAAACTTCTGTATAATAGTTGCTAACTTAAACTGATTTTAAATAAACCTAAATCATTATACTAATAAAACATTTCCCAGTTTTTGTTTTAGATTTATACGAAAAAATATTTCATCAAATAATTATATATAAATTATTTGAAAAGTCCTATAACCACTTATATTCGTATACATTTATTACATTACATACATATATAATTTTTTAACTACGCCAATAGTTAAAATGTAAGCGAGAAGGGAATAAATTAGTGAAACTTATAATTATATTTTTTTCCTTTTTTTGGACCTGAGTGCACTTAGCATCAATAAATTAGATGCAATTCGAATACCTTACTCAAATAGTTATTATACTGTGGATCGGGGTTATCTTAATAATATTATAACCCACGCGACAATTTGCGTCGGTACACTTACCGAGAAAAGCCGATTGCGAATCTGTCGTTTCGCTTCTTGATTTCCATATCCCTTTAGATTTCATGTCGTAACGTAGTACTTGTACCTTTATAATATTAAAAACTCGGCAAGAAAACGACAATAATTATATAATATAATATAATAGGAATCGCGTGCGATATGATGTGACTACATAGGTATACAAATTATCGATCGCGTTTTATATACGTCATTACCATAGAACTTATTACCAGAAACGCCATAGACCTACGAACAGAAATCATTGGTCTACGGTAACTCACCACGATGACTATAATGTATATTATATAAGTGCAAATTTATTTGGAGGAAATTATCAGGTGTCCGATATGAGTAAATTTATTATTAAATTATAACCATTAACGGCATTTTTTTTTTTTTTTGAAGGACATTTTTATTTGAATATAATATTGTAACATTTATAATTAATACATTCTTATAACGTACCATTTTTGCCTAACTGATTTGATAGGTTTTTTGAATCTTGGTTAAATATTATACTTTCTTTCAGACAGAAGATGGTATTCATGGGTTCTGGCCATACACAAAATTTTTCACTTCTATATATAGGTATTCCTTAAAGGAATTTTTAATCGGTAGAGTGTCTTTATAAGTCAGTATTTTGGTTGGTGATTGATTATTCTGTCGATCGATTGGATGTTGGTAAATTGACCCAGACTTTTCTTTACCTTAATACATTTTCATTAATATTTTAGATTTCTATTATTTACATAATTTGATTTCACGCTATTTTTTGAGATACGCTTTCTTCTTTAGTTAGTTATGTTGTCAAGATTTGTTATTTTGCTACAAGTATACTTACAAACTACAAATCTAAGAACAAAATATAAACGTCCTCCTTTTTAGTTACTATATAGATATCTAATGATTGTTAAAGAATGAGTATTTTTTATTATAATTTAATTTAATAATTAAATGACACAAAATTACATGCTTTTCTCATTTATATTGCAACCATTCGATTCCTAATTTTTTTCTTTTAAAATGAAATGAAAAAAAAAAATTTTTTTTTCCCAATCAATCGATTTATGGTCGTCTAGCAATTACATAATTAATTAGATAATAATTACAATAATTATTTTTCTCCGACTTGCAGTCAGAGTAAAGTAGGAAATTAAAAAATCTTAAATAAAATGAATATTGTCTCAAAGTTCAAATAGAAATTATAACTGTAACACGCTAATGGTATTTAAAACAGAAGGCATTTAAAATTATAATAGTCAAAATATTGATATCCAGGCAGTGTCAAGATCCTGACACCCACCAAGATTAAAATCCCACAAAATAAAAAGAAGCAAAAAATACTGAGTAAACGAATTTTCTTGACAACTTGCCCTTTACATTTTACTAGACTTAAGACTGATCAATAATGAATTTCAAAGATACACGTTTGAAATTCTTTAATCGGGTCTGTTTAAACAGTTGTTTTGGGTGTTTGTGTATGTTTTTCAAAATTGTTTTTTATCAATACAGGATAAACCTAAATAACTTTTTAAACACGTTCATTTAATATGCTTTAAACTTATATCATTAAAATCACTATTGGCCACTTTTTAGGTAAAGTTTGAAGGGAAAGTTGTCGGAAAAATTCGTTTACTTTGTAGTTTCTTTCATTTTTTTTTTTTTTTTTTTTGTGGGATTTAGTTTGGACAAAATTTTATCTGGTCACCCAAATCGAACAGTTAAAATCCCAACAAGGCCTAAATTCCATCAGTTTAAATACCAACAGTGGAAAAATCCTGACAGATAATAATATTATTGTGCTCCATAGATTACATGTTCACATTATATTGGGTAGTTTAGAAAATATTACTACTCCATATGATAACTCGACGAAATTTGAGCAACATTCTTATTAGCCTCTCTCGAAATTGTGTTGGTAGTTGGACCTAATTACGCTTCTTAAATTAAAAAAAAAAACAACCAATATTAATTATTATTGTCTATTGATTTTTTACCGTTAAAACAAAACACACTTGTTAATACGCGTCCCGTTAAAATGGCATCAAAAACTCGTAAGTATACCAAAATTAATGGTTCCAAACCCGGTAGTTAACGGGCCTAATATAGGTGATTCGTGAGAAAAAGAATAGTCCATAACGACCAACATTATGAAAAAATTGTTTATTTTTTCTCCTGTTATATACGAGAATTTCACAGTTCATAGTGGTAATTTATCGTTGTTATGTCTACCAACCGATAAATTGTTCTAAGATTTTTTTTTTTTGGTAAAAAAAGGTCTTCAGCAAATCTAGGTCATCCGAGACCTATCAAAGGTTTTATAAGTGGTAAAAAGTGTTAAAAGGGTTAGGTTAGTTTAAGGTATATTAGGTTAAACCCAAGTTATAAGCACTGTATCCTTAAGCGGTTTTTTTTGTCTTATTGAAATCGCATAATAAATTACTGTAAGAGCTGTGGTATTTAAATATAATATTATAACATTGTTTTATTAACGGAGTTAATATACGGAATTTATTTTAAACTGTTTGAAACATTTGTGGAATAATTAGTGATGTTATTTTCGGTACAAACTCGAAGCTCAGGACACATTCCAGTGTCCATCTTCAAAGACGTTGACAGTTTAATAGTATCTCTTCCGCTACCGGATTATTCAACGAATATTTCTAATTAAACAACTGGAACGGAGCTTGGTGATCCATGTCTCCACTATTTTATTTTATAAACGTTATAAACCACGTTTAACTTTGCGAACTTTACTTAGCCTATAACCTTGATCTATATTTTTTGATTTGAAAGAACGTAAAAATTGAAATATAATACGTATAAAGTGTAAATATATGATATATTATTATGTATAGAGGTAATACATATTATTTATTATTTGTAGATGTATATTTTTGGTATGTACATGCATGATCAAAGCTGTTTCCAATTTTCCAGACAATTTTTTTTTTCGTTTGTAGGTATAAAATGTATACCTATAAATAGTGTAATAAAATTTAATTTATAAATAAGTGGGTAATAGATACGTGTCGGTGTTTACGGGTATGCTCGTTATAATTCTATGATATCCGTTACACATATCAACAATAATAATACTATTGTTAATAGTATTGTCTAGTATTAACAAAAAACTATTAATTAATAGTTGTAATTTATTAATATATTATCTGTATAACAGTTCAACTCCATTCATGCGTTTTACTTTTACACACAAAAGTTATATGATATATTTACAACTATGTAGAAATAGTAACTTGACCATGAAAAAACTTGGTCTGCTTAAATGTTGGCATCCCTATTAAAAAAACTCAAATGGCGTCCCTGCCCGAACTTCGTTCAGAATCGTTTTAGTTAACAATCATTTATCATTGCGTAAACAATTAAATAACTGTATGTACTTTCCCAACTCTCCACCTACAATAGTAGTACCCATTAGCAGTATCAGCTCTTTTTTTTTTTTATCTTGTATTCTTTTATTATCTTGAAATATGTTTAATATATATGTATACAATATAAATATATTATAATACAAACGAACATCAATTAAAATATAAATGTAATCTTTTTTTTTTCGTTTTTCGGAATTAAATTACACAAGACAATAATAATTAAATATCAGCGAAAAAATAACATTTCTACACTTAGAATCTAATAAAAACAAATAATATTTGATTGTTCTTCTTGAACAATTAAAGAAATAAACAATTGACCAATTATAAATATTTCATGTTCATTCAATTATTTAATGATTTTTTTGTTTTTGAAAAATGTCATTTTATAATTCGTAGAATGGCGGCAATTAATTAAGTACATTGCACACATCTATATTACTTTTGGATGCAGTGGTGCAACTAAGATTTATTTTTGGTGAGGGTTTTATGAATTTGAAAATAAAAAAATTTGAATAATGTTTGGTGGGGTGGAGGGGATAAGGTTTAATTAGGTTTATGAGTAAAATGTTTAAATTATTTAACTTTCATTTATATACAATGCATATTGGAAAACAATTTAGACTCATATTAATTATGTATTAAACTACTCTTTACTCATAAGTACATAGTGAGTAATTTAAACCTTCGGATTTTTTTTAAATTAAACGTCCGAGGAACAAAGGACGCAATAAAGCGATCGTGGCTTGAGCTATATGAGCTGTGGCGCCGTCTTGTTAAATCCAATAGTCGTTCATGCCGTTATTAGTCAGAAATGGAATTAAAATATCTGTTATCATGGCCCAATAACGCTTTCCGTTGATAGGGGATATTATTTTTAAAAAGTAATCAGGACAAATTTCCAAAATAAACGAACAATTATACAAAATTAATAACTTTTGTTTTTTGTTGTACTTAAATTTTGTTGTATTTTGAGATTCTTGAAATTTGTTGATAGGCTTTTAATTTTTTGAAAGCCAACGCATTTTAATAATAATACATTTTTTTTTTTTACTATTTTTCTTCTTTTGCATATCTTTGGCTATGAAGACTAAATTTAATCTTCTATTAAATACAAAACCAGTTACTTATTGTTTTTCTCTGCTGCAGCTTCTTTATAGTAGATTCCCGATTTTATTGACTTAATAACGTTATTAACACAATTTTCCTTCTTTAACTTTGGTCTCCGTAAAATACTTTCTCGATTACTTGCTTAACCAATATCTCTGTTTATGTTAGGATTGGCCAGCCAACATCGTCTGACTTTTTGTAGCGATCCCTCTAACTACCAATATGTTGGACCTTTGGATTTGAACTATAAGTTTATCATTATATATTCTCCATTAATAGGTTTGGATATTAATGATTAGGCCATATTTTACTGGTAACTTCTCTCTCAAAAACTACTAATCTCAGTTCTTAGGATATTGTACGATTTATTTATTTAAAATTGATATGTAATTGCAATGTCTATATACGTACACGTGTATTATAATAATTTGTGTAAACACAAAAGGTTAAATAGTATCTTCAATATTGATTAAAATAATAATAGAAGCAAAAAATAGTAAAGTATAAAGTATACAAAATATAGACGGATTTTATGCGATTCGTATTAGATGTAGATCCAAGT